CCTTTGCGTCATGATGGGACTTTCAACGTACCACCTTTTTCCGTTTAGTTTTTAATTATTTTAAGGTATTTATTAATAGAAGATATAGGTGTATTTGTTTCTATAGTATCCCCAGTACATCAACAAGTGTAAAACATAAAAGAACGATCATAAATTTGCATTCGCAAAGTTACTATAAATAAAAAAAATTGTTAAAAATTTGCTCTTTTTACAGAAAAAATGCATTTTCTACTAAACTATTGTCAATATAAAAACACCGATTTTAGTGTTTATTCAAAAGGTCCTAAAGTATTTTTCAGAATTTTTTCAGATTTTTTTACAGTATTGTTTAGTTTTAAAAAATCATAATTAATTCTTTGTGTCACAAACTTTTGTTTTAGATATATTTGTTTTAATAGTACACCCGGGAGTTTTTTGGGTCGCTGATTACGAATCCAAAGTCAGAATTACAAAATTCAAAATGGTCGATCTAATAAATCAACAAGTTTTACTTTTTATGAAAATTAATGTATGATTGTTTTTATAATATAAAAATAATATATAATAATATAATATAAAAATAAAAAAAATATAAAATATAAAAAAACAAAAATATAAAATATAAAAAACAAAAAAATATATAAGATACAAACATAAAAACACAAAAAATACATAAAACATAAGGAAAACAACAATGAACTAAACTAAAATCTCGCTACGTCATCGTCCTCCTAGATTTAATCCTAAGTCTAATTTTATTAAAATTAGTACATTTGTCTAGATACACATTTTCATAAAAAAATTATTTTTAAATTATTAGTCGGCCATATTGGATCCGCCATTATGAATTTTACAATTCTGATTTCGGATTCTTAATCAGTGACCCCAAAAACAACCGGATACACTATTACAGAAAAAATAGGCCTGATAGAAAAATTCGTGACACAAAGAGTTAATTAAAGAAAATTTATGCAGTATGATACATAATCATGCAACAATTTTCTTTGATTAATATCTAAAAATCTATGTTGTCATTTGCAAAATGGTAGAGGACTTTTTTGTTTAGTTTGACTTAATGTACAAGTACACAACGGTAGACGGCGCAATTGCAGCTCATCTACCATATCGAGTATTAACATTCACCCTTTTTTTTAAATTAATATCTCGACTATTATTGCGAATATCGCAAAATAGTATAGGACTTTTGTGTTTATCTCAATCCGTTCTATGTCCTCATAAGAGATTGTAAAGGTGATACGGGACACCCTGTATATATATACAGGGTGTCCCGCGTAAGACGTGCCAAAAGAAAAATATAAATAGAACAGATCAAAGTGAACAAAAATTGTAGAGGTCAATTTTCAAATAACCAAGTAAAATTTCGAGATATTAATTAAAATAATTAGACGTATCAGAACACGGCGACGCAGCAGGCGGGACATACGGTTTGCCGGGACGGCGAAAAAAATGGATGATTGCTCGGGGGCCTATCTTAAAGGTCGGCCGTTTGACATATTAAAATGGGTAGCTCCGTGTGTGCGTCCGTGTACGTGTGCGCTCATCCATTTTTTTTTGCCGGCCACGGCGAGCCATATGTTCCGCCTACCGCGTCTCCGCGCTTTGATATGCCCAACTATTTTTATTAATATCTTGAAATTTTACGTGGTTGTTTGAAAAATGACCTGTACAATTTCTGTTCAGTTTTATCTGTTCTACTTATATTTTCTTTTTAGCACGTCTTACTGGAGCACCCTGTATATATACAGGGTATCCCAGATCACCTTCACAATCTTTCGTGAGGACGCAGAGCAGATCGAAATAAACACAAAAGCCCCATATCATTTTGCGATATTCGCAATTAAAGTCGAGATATTAATTAGAGAAGATTGGTGAATGATCACACACGATATGATAGATGAGCTGCAGTGGCACCGTCTGCCGCTGTATACTTATACATTAAGTAAAATTGAACAAAAAAGTTCTCTTCCATTTTGCAAATGACCACATAGATTTTTAGATATTAATTAAAGAAAATTGTTACATGATTGTGTATCATAATGTACAAATTTTCTTTAATTAATATCTAAAAATCTGTGTGGTCATTTGCAAAATGGTAGAGGATTTTTTTTTTCAATTTGACTTTATGTATTATATAAGTATACGACGGTAGACGGTGCCACTGCAGCTCTTCCACCATATCGTGCGTGATCACTCACCAATTTTTTTAATTTATATTTCGATTATTATTGCGAATATCGCAAAACACTATGGGACTTTGGTGTTTATCTCAATCCGCTCTACGTCCTCACGAGAGATTGCGAAGATGATCCGGGATATTCTGTATATATAAGGGTGTCCGAAACCTTTCTTGACACAATTCGTAGAAAAGTAGAACGGATTAAACAGAACAGAAAAGTCAAGTACCATTTTGCGAAATTCGCAATAGTTTTCCAATAATTAATTATTTTATCTCAGCAAATTAGGGCTTGGGCCGGCCTGCGACCGTGATATCACCACTTGCTGCGTCCCTCCGCCCATAGCTACGATGTGTCTCGTAGCTTTAGTTACCATAGTTACGAGATATAGCGTAGCTATGGGCGGAGGGACGCAGCGAGGGGCAATTCGCGTGTACCACGTTCGTGGGCTGGCCCAAGTGCTAATTTACTGAGACAAAATAATTAATTACTCAACAACTATTGCGAATTTCGCAAAATAGTACTTGACTTTTATGTTCCATTTAATCCGTTCTACTTTCCTACGAATTGTGTCAAGAAAGCTTTCGGACAACCTGTATATATATAAAGGGTATCCCGAATAACCTTCACATTCTCTCGTGAGAACGTAGAGCAGATTAAAATGAACACAAAAATCCCATACCGTTTTGCGATATTCGCAATAATAGTGAAAATATTAATTAAAAAATTAGTGAATGATCACGCACGATATGGTAGAAGAGCTGCAGTGACACCGTCTACCGTCGTATACTTATACATTAAGTCAAACTAAACAAAAAAATACCATTTTGCGAATGACCACACAAATTTTTAGATATTAATTAAAAAAAATTTATACATTATGATACACCATCATGTAACAATTTTTTTAAATTATTATCTAAAAATCTATGTGGTCATTTGCAAAATGGTAGAGGACTTTTTTGTTTAGTTTTACTTAAT